ATATCAATCAAATAAATTATGGCATGTGGCTGGAGAGTGGGATAGACGGAGGGGGCAGGGGGTGGATCCAATGGATATAAATGCAAATCAATATGAACAAAATGTGTGCAGTCAGTCAGGCAGTCAGTCAGTCAGTCAGGCAGTTGGCAGTTGGGCCTACTGCAGCCTCAAGTGGCTATAATGTGCATAAATGAGCCAAGAGATTGGTTAGGGAGAGGGACAGTGGCAGGGGACGGGGCAAAGGAACAGGGGGAGGGACTGCCAATGTCTCGCTTGATTTGTTGATGTTTTAGAGCTTTTCAATTGGCGCCAGCGCCAACTGCAACCTAATTTTGAATCCAGCAAGTGGCGTTACATCAACTAATCATATGCACTGAGTACACACACACAAACACACACACACACACACACACACACAGATAAATATCACACACAGCTCTGTTTACACAGCGCCTAGGCACACGCATCATCACTCATACGTGACGTTGCCCGAATACACTTCAATTTGCCACAATGTGTGTTGGTATGTGTGTGTGTGTGTGCGTGTTGGATGATTTGTAATAAAATACTAATGCTGGCAGCTCGAAAAACTCAATTGCATTGACGTTTGCATAAATATTCAGGCATTACAGCGCTTTTCCAATATTCCAGGCCTCCCCCTTCCCCCTATCACCTCCACCCACCCACACATGGCGCATTTGCCAGTTTATAAATTTGTAATTCCCAACGCCTCGCGCTGATGTTGATTTTTTATGGCACTTGCTGCACTTCTCTCTCATTGTTGTTGCTGCTGTTGTTTCTTGCTGTGCATTTAGCGCAAAATAAACAAATTAGAGGGTATCAAATCGTATATATAGCACACACACACACACACACAGACAGATTCGATTGTTTATACATTTTTGCCGCGGCTCTTGTTAGTTTATTAGCTGAGAATTTTTTATGTGGCCCCCTAGCCTTTTTTTATGGGCAACTTTCTTCTTGTTCATGTTAAACATTTTGTTCATGCTCTGAAATCGATTTGGCAACGCGGCCCTTTTTATTTACCATTTGCTGCTTGCAAAAGTTATTGCTTGTAGTTTTTTTTTTATTCTGTCTTAATTAAAAGCAAATACTTTTAGCTTCTTTTATGATAACGCTTGATTTATTAATTGCTTTTAATTGGCAGCCAAAGTTGACTTACTTCAATGTTTATTCAGTTCTCCAGGCTAAAATATTATAAACACGCAAGGGCATATATTACTATGTTGAATATTTGAAAGGCGATTAATAGTTTTATATAGCTAGATTCAGCTTTTTGCGTAATATAAATTTTAATAAAACCCAAGTTGATTATAAATAAGTATTGCATTTTGAATGAGAAACAAAGTGAAAAGGCTTTTTTTTTATATATATATAAAGCTTGTCGTGGGCGAGGCTTTTGGTTATTTTTATCCAACCCGCTTTCCTTGTGTGAGCTTCATTTGAATTATTTTGCACTTAAATTTTGTTCAATTTTTGCCATACTTTTTTGGAAATAATTTTTGACATTTGTGTGTCAGTGGATTCCTATTACATCCTGGTCGCAGCCCGCCCTGCAAGCCAGCCGCGCACTCGACTTTCATATTTTCTATCGCATATAAAATATTCTGATCGTAACAAAAATCGCAATTGTTTTCATTGTCGAGGGCTCTGAGCAGCTTGCAGCACCTTCTAAGACGATCGTCTCGCTGTTCAACTTCTTCTTGTATATTATGTAAAATACATGACAATTGCTCGTAACTAATTCCATCTTGATATTCAGCCTTGTCCAAGGCTAGAGTGTGTGCAAAGAGCAGCAGCAATGCCAGGCCGATGAATGCTCCCATCATGAAAGTCGGTCGGAAACTGAACCCAGAGCTGCCCAAGATTGACTTATAAGCAGCTCGGTATTGTGATTAGTATTTTTGTTTGTCATAAAAGCGAGTCATATTTAAAATTGTATTTATAGATCGTTTGCGGTTGATTGTGTGCGTCTTGCATAAAGTACTTAACTTTTTTCGCTAGCACTTAAATGAACGCAGCTTGAGTTTCCACATTCGTTACAAGAAAGCTACAAATGTTGAAAAAACCAAAATCAATTTTCACTTGGTAATACGAGCCAGCATCAGAAGCTATAGAAACTGTCGCATATATACTTTGGGATACATTATACTCTTGCCATTGTCCGGACTAAGACTTGGCACTTGTATAGCCGCAGCATAGAGACAATCGCTGGCAGGGCGTTGTAATTGATAACTTCGAGAATTTTCAATTGGGCATCGAACGCGTCTAAGGACTGCTGTCATAGTAACCTATACCTCAGCTGAATTGTCACATATTGTTGTTCAGCTGGTCAGAGGGCGGGAGGTCGGGTAGGCGGACCAAAAACCAAGGCACTAAAAAACCAATGAACCGAAATGTAAAAGTATCTTGACATTGTTACATAAGCACTGTTTTATTAACACCCACCCGGAATGGGGCCAGCGGCTAAAAAGGTTAACAAACGCTGCTCACTTGTGGGGCTGCCTTCGGCTCAGGCTCAGGCTCAGATGAGGGCCTGGCTACTTGTCTGGGGCGCACGAATAAATATATATTTCTGCCCACATTCGAGACTCATTTGGTTTTATTTAAGTTAGGAAGCGAATGACTTTTTTTCGGCTTGTTTTTGCCAAAAAATGTTACATTCTAATTACAGTTGGGCGCTCGTAAAAATAGCTGCCACCTAGGCACCTAGGCACCTGGCTGCCTATCTGTTCATTCGATTACATTTTTCCGCCACTTAACGGCCAAATTATGCAAATCAGCCGAGACACGCAAGCAAGTGCGAGCTCTCCCTCTTCCCCTCCTGCCAAGGCATTCGCTTTGAAATTAGTTTGAAAAAGGAGACGTGTGTGCACCTGTCGGCCTAAAAACAAAGAAAAAATACAAAAAAAAAAAAAATATAAAAAATAAATAAGGGAACATACACCCCGTAAGTGTTGCCATAGCATTTGTCGGGGGTTGCCTACAACACACACACAGCACACACACACACACGGGTGTATCTGTATCTGACAGATACACAGCCTAGGGGCGAACAGATACACATGTATCGCAAGTCATTGGGGCATTTATGGCTAGTTAGCTGTTGTGCCCAGAGACCAGAGCCCAGCCAAATATTGCATGCGAACAATTTTTGACAATCATTTCGGTATAATATTTGTCTGTGCCTTCCATGTGGCCGCTTTCAAAGCATTTGTCAATCAAACAACAGAGCTGAACATGGCACATATGTTACAACAACACGTTGAGCAGGGAGATTGGTTGTGATGACATGAAAATGTGTTGCTTAAAACTTATTTGAAAAGAGCAAAACATTTATTTAACTATGATATACAGTGAAACCTCCTTTGAGCGGATAGCTGTGGTTGCAGTTGGCGAAGGCATAACAAAACCAGGAAGACATGCAGAAATATCTCAGAATGTTATCGTTCCACTTGCTGTCTAATTGTCCGCATTGCGAATAATTTAAGTCAATAAAGGGCTGTGCGCTTTGGTTTCACTGTAAGATTTCTTTTGTATTTAAATTAGCAAAAATTTTAATGTTGTGCAAATCGAAATGAATGTTATCGAATTGTTATCGATCAATGGAATGCAACGTACTGCATTCATCTTGCTGTCCAATTGGAGTAGAAACTGTGACTAGACCCTGAGACTAACTAATTGATTAATAGTCTGGAATGCAAGATATGCTAATAGTCCATTATGTTTAATACTAAGCAACTTAGTTTATCCGAATTAAATGTGATTTAAGTTAGCAAAGGGCTGTGCACTTGGGTTTTTACTCGACAAATTTCTCTCATATAAAATTAGCAAACTTTTAAATGATGTACAAATCGATTGGCATGGACTTAAGCTGAATTCAAAGCGATCAGTTTTGATCTGTGATATAAAAATAGCAATTACTTGTACAGTGAACTGGTAAGTGATGCCCCTTCATCCGGTTTTGAATGCGTAAGCGAAAAGCCCATTCGAGTTGGCAATTGGGCCATCAATTCGATCAAATGTATCTAATTTGGGCAAACAGTCCAAAAAAGGGCCCCAGCTAACCGGTTAAGGGGGAACGGAAATTATTCATGGCTTCCATGGAAACAAAAAGCGCAGGCAAAGGCAAAGGCAAGAATGTAGAGCGAAGGCAAAGAAGATAAATGACCAACAATTAGTCACACCTACGATGACAATCATCGAGTGATTTCCAAACAGAAAGCAGCCGGCGGCCAGTACGATTCTGATTACGATTCCGATTTCGACTTTGATCCAGATACAGATTCTGGACAATGGCCAAACTGATGAAAATTTTTTGGTCAATCGAGTGGGCGTGGCGTGGCGTAACAAAGCCGCAATCCACATTCACCCAACATTCACAGACCAGGGGTTGGGCCACAAATCGAGCCAGTGCTATTTGCAGCGCTTAATTGCACACAAGGATGGGCGAGTGTGTGTATGCCCCCCTAGTGTTGATTGACATATGTGGCGCTTTATAGTGGGTGTGCGTGTGTGTGTGTGTGTGTGTGAGTATGCCGAGGTGTGTGTTCTGTTTTGATTAGCGGCATGCCATGTCAAACAACAATTTGTAAGAGCGAATGACATTTGAATGATGACATTGGCATCGGCATCGTCGTCGGCACAGGTGGCGCTTCCGCTTGACACTTGCTTTCGGCAACGCCGGAACAGGAGCGGGTCAGCCATGGGCGTGAGGGGAGGGGGCTTAATCGGGGGGGAACATAATGTCTCTATTATGGCGTGCTAAACAAGCGACAAATTGCATGTGTCTGCCGCAGCGACGGGGCGTCTAGACATTCAACATTGAGCAGCGGGGCGTGGTTGACAAAACAAAAAAGAAACAAGTGAAAAATAGAAAATAAAAGGAAAAACAATAATTATGATGATGCATGTGCATAATAGACAAATCAGTCAAATCAACTTGTGTATAAACAATTAACCCTCTCATCTCTTTCCAGACGCACTTTGTATCACAAAAGAAAAAACCAACAAAATGTTTTCCTGTGTGCAGCTGCTCACCGCGCTCTGCGTCATCGGCATTTTAATAGGTAAGTGAGACACTTATAGAGTATAGAGCATATATATGTATATAGTGTATATATGTGCCTGGCTTCAATTATGCAGTTTCCCTCGGTCAGCTTCATTTGTCAATGGCAGCGTTGGCGACGGCCGCGTCATCATTCAATATGAAATTTCACACTTTGGTTGACATTTCAAATGGCGAATGGCCAAAAGTGGCAAGTGCCAAATGGTCAAAGGGGCGTGGCAGGGGGGGGGGGGGCATATATTCGCTATTGCCGAGCCAAGCCGCACAGCGCGGCGCCGTTGACGCCGCGTGCCTCATAAATTAATTTACACTTGAAACTGTGCGGCGCTGTGCGACCAGAAAACAACAACAACAAAAACGACAACAACAACAGCAACAACAACAACAAGAGCAACTGGCAACACAATGCTTAAACGCTGAAAATGAAACTGTATCTGGTGGCCCACCCATGGCGAATGCATGGCATTGCAAAAGTCAGCGCCGTTTGGGCCAAGTGCAGTTCGTTTTAGCCACATTATATTAATGGAATCGTAGTGGACGGGGGAGGGGGTAGCAAGCGATGGGGTCAAGTCGGGCTAAACTAAGGCACAGCTGCAATTGCCGCGGGCTACTTAAAAGACCATGGGGCAGCGCGCACCGTGGTTAAACAGCGAGGAGATTATTTGAAGCGGGGTCCGAGGTTCGTTTCATAGCTCGAACCAGATTTCTGCCTTAAAACTCTGCTTAAAATATGGCTAACTAAATCAAAAGGCGTTCAAGTTCTTTGAATGTGGAAATGGCTCTACCTTTGTTGTTTGGGCATATTATTTAGCTTAAGTTTCCGTTCATGATTAAACGCCAACCATTTTATTGTCCCTTCTTTGGAAGTTTTTTATTTAAGAAATCGGCAAAACTTGCTTCAATCCAGCTGTTGTTTGGGCACTTGGCTTAGCTTAAATTTCGATACCTGAAAAATAAGAGCTTAAATATCGAACTTAAACTATTTTGTTTTTTTTTTCATATTAAAAATTGTACAAAAATGGTTTGATTTAAATATTAATTTATTTAACAAGCTTGAAGCAGTTTATTGAGAGACTTAAGGTTTTCACAAATAATATTTCATATAGGCATATATTTTTTATTTTAATTTCTACTAATTTTTTTGATGTAAAAAAGGTAATTTTGCAATTAATATGAGACTTAAAGTTTACACAAATATTATTCCCCTGCAAATCGAAAGCTTTATAATCTTTTTTATTATAATTCCCTCTGATTCTTTTGAAATGAAAAAGTTGATATGCGACTTAAAGTTATCACAAACTTTATTTCCTTGTAAATCAAACACTTTATTAGCTGCCAACTCCCAAGAGTTCACGATGTGTTCGCCTGGCTGGTAACGCCTCAATAAACAGTGAAAATGAGAAAATTTCGATTTTCTGCTATGAAAGTCAGCTACTTATCAGGCCAGAGTTAACTATCCCAGTGTGTGGGTAGCCGCTGCACTGCGGTGGCAACCCTGGCCGCAACCCGACCGCTTTGTGATGCAAGTTAAGCGCGAGTTCTGACGCGGTGGCAAATGTGGCAAGACACACACGAGGCAGCTAGAGGGCAGCTGGGTGCATCATCATCATCATCATCATCATCATCATCAACGTCAATATCATCATTAATATCATCATCATCATGTTGATGATGTCTGTTTAATTGAAATTGACGCTTACTGCGTTTGGTTTCTTCGCGCCAGAATTTGTTTATGAACAGCGGGAAAAGCTGCAACAAACAAAGAAATACAAAATATGAGCAAATTGCTCTGCGGTTCTCTGCGACGGCACTTTGTCGCCTGTCGGCGGTCGCCTGTTGCCCCCCACGCCCCTCGCAGCCGTCGACTGTCGCCTGTCGTAATAATTTCAGCTGCAATTGAAATAAATTAAATTGCATGCGGAGCCATTTTCAGTGACGCTGTTGGCGGCGCCGCCACTTTTGTCAACCGGAATTGTGTGTGCGTTCAGAATCTAGCCCCGAAAACCGTAACCTGCCCCCCTCCCAGCCCCACCACACACCCTGCCACTGCTCAATGTGACAATTTGGCCCTGCAGATGCATAACCGCAAACTGCGATGCGCTCAACATACGCCAAACGCCAGTCATCATCCTGATGTGCACATGTCACTGCGGCATTTGTTTAATTAACAAAAACTCTGGCCCACAGCGCGAGTGTGTGTGCGAGTGTGTGTGCGAGTGTGTGTGTGTGTGTGTGTGTGTGTGGATTGTGGGTAGTAAGTGGTGGCAGCTTTGGCCATTGTCAGTCATCGTTTGTCTTTGTAATTTGTGCGTTGATGAGTTATACTTTTGTTTGGATGCTCTCGCTGATTAATGGGCTGTGGATCATATGCCGTGCATGCGGGTGCGTTAGTTACATCTATTCCGACAGCTAAAAAAAAAATGTGAGCCATGCTTGGCCAGCTCTTTATGTAGGGCACAAGCGGAAAATAGTTTTGAATTTTGTCAGTGGAACTTGAGTGGGCCTTAAGCGAAAATTTTCTAATTCAGTCAGAATGAATTATTAAAACTGTGTGTAAAATTTTTGAATGAACATATTAAATTTAAGGATGTTTATAATTGGACTTAAAGTCTGATTAAGAAAATTTTTCGTAAATACATAACATATTTATGCACGTGGAACATGTGTGGGCCCTAAATCGCAATTTTAATAACAATCTAACATGTTAGCTGTATGTAAAATTTGTATTGAGTACATTTAATGTGAATACAGAATAAATGTTTGAAGTTTGAGTACCTTGAGACAGGTAAAGGAAATTTCCATGGAATTATTAGATTGAGACATGGATTTTTAAACATTTTAGTATGTGGAACTTCCGTCCAGTTAACTTTTTTAAATCAAAAGTTAAACATATAATATCAAATTTGGTAGGTGGAACACATATTTATGCCATGTAAAAACAGAATATTATCGTGCAAGTCGTCTCTTAGTTTTGGATATTTCTCTTTTTTCTCGCTCTTTCACTTTCGCTCTCTCTCTCTCATCTAAACGTCTCCATTTATCACATCCCCCCAAAAATGTGCCCATTCTTATCTGCTTAGCCAGCCTCAAGTGAAAGCTGTTGTCCAGCATGCGGCACTTGTTGCATCAGATATGCAAATTTGTTATCAAACTGTCGCACAAAATTTTATATTCAAAATAAGTGAAATATGATTTGCCGCCTCCGATTGCCCCAGAGCAAATCAACAGAGCGTTAACAGCCACAAAGTCGCCGCAAAACTTTCTCAATAAAATGCTGAACAAGCAACAACAACAGGAACAACAACAGAAAAATAAAATGAATATAAAGAAGCACATTTGAACTGTGAAAAACTGTTGCTGACAGTTTCGTTGGAAAAGCAAAACGAGGAAAAGCCAAAAGCAGCAACAACAAAGAGCCAAAAACATTAATCATTTAATTTGATAAGCAATAAACGAAGTTCTGATAATCTTTTTACGTGAACATACCTCAAATTCTAGAAATGGGGGCAGCCGCAAGCCAAAACTAATGGATGCCGCAGAAGCGGGGAATTGACTTCGACTTCGACTCCGACTCCGACTCCGCACTACCCTTTCCCTTTTTCTTTCCCTTTTCCACAACGACATGGACTTTGGCTTTGGCTTTGACGCATTGCATGCAATTTCAATTGATTATGCTTCGCTCGAAAGGGTTTCACAGCAGGACAGCAGCAGCAGGGCTGCGGCTGGGGCCAGGGCTGGAAGCTGTGCGAAAAGATGAAAGACAGCTCTAAGGAAAAACTACTTTAGCTTTCACTTGCAGGCGGGGGCGCGGCCCAGTCCAGAAGGGTTCGTTGGCCAAACTTGTCGCATGAAAATGCAATTCAATTGATTTATGTGCTCAATGCAATTACCCGAAAAGCAAATGGTGGGCGGGGCAGGGCGGGAGGGGGTACATGCGTGTTTGCTGCCAATAAAAATCAAGCAGGGTTGCATTTGACAGCCGCATAAATTGCTGCGCACCCCACACAGACACCTTGTCAGTAGGTGCGAAAATGGCTGCCAAGCCAAAATACCCAGAAAAGCAGCAAAGGAGACGTGGCCGGAGATGAAGCTGGAAATGAAAATGAAAATGGAGATAGAGATAGGTAGAGGTAGAGGTGTAAGTAAAGGGAAAGGGAGAGGAAGAGGGGGAGACCATAAAAGCCAACAAAAGTCAAAGGGGGCGTCTTCCAAGGGGCGTCACTGCGGCCAATTAAATTTATTGCCCCGCTCTGGGTGCCTGCAAAATTGTTTTTAATTGTCCCGGCAATTAAAAACACGCCCAGCAGCAGCTCTGCCTTTGAGTCAGCCGTGCGCCCAGATAAACAAAATTCAAGTGCGAGAAAGTTTTTTCGGGCCATAAAATTTATTTGGGATAGCCAAGCGTTTGCCATGCGAGCAAATATGTTATGGACAAAGGAAAGGGAGGCTTTGTATATAGAAACTGAATTATTATAAGCTACATTTAAATGGGAATCTGTGGATGCTAATTTTTGATTAACTTAAGTCCCGATTAGTCAGATACTTTAGATATTCCTGATACTGATTCAGTTTGCCTAAAGTTTTAAGTTTTATATTTATTATTGTAGAAATTTAGATATTATAAACCACATTCACATGGGAATCTGTGGATGTTCATTTCTGATCAGCTTAAGTGGCGATTAGTATATTCTGAAATGGAGTCACTTTTCTCGAAGTCTTAAGTTTTATATTTATTTTTCCTAACAGTTATCATATCGTTAAAACTTGAGTATTCTCTTCGTTTATTTTATTTGTACTTTTCTTTCATTTAACTCACCTGGGAATGGGCGCAGCACCTGTTTCAGCAGCTCCTGCGGCTGCTGCTGCTCTTAGCCTAAACCAATAAAAGTCTTTCGCAAATGTTTGTCCTTGCGCGAAAGTAATTTTTTTTTTGTATGCACTGTCCTTTAATGTTGACGTTTCTTATGGCCTGAGGCGGGGTTTTCTCTTTAAGCTACTTGC